CCACCAGGGAAGCCCCTTACTTATGCATTTTTGAGAGGAATGTTTCCTTTTTAAATAATCAAAGAGGAGGAACCAAATAACAGAATAAACTCACTTTTACTCATTTGAAGGTAGTATTGGATATTCACTTGATGAGAAAAAAATTCATCTTCAATTTCCAAATCTAAGAAACAGGTATTTGTTATACTAACAACATTTGATTAACTACTATGTTTAGGATACTACTGTAGACCCTGGACTCTGTTCTGTTACAGATTAAACACTGATATTCAATCACGAATATGGATAAACAAGGTTTCAAGATGATATCTTTAGAAATCTTCTGTCAGTAAATGATTAGGGCTTGATGGGGATGGAATTGTAAACTCATAAAAGATAACTCCAGTACCTAAATATTAAAGAAATACATTCTAAAAGGTGAGTAAGTGCTTTCATTCACAGCCGTGGAGTGGGTTCCAGATCTCAAGTTGCTGCTAGAGCTTCTTCAGTAGATCACTGTTCTGTAACAAGCTCTGGTCCCTTCTGCCATCCTGGTCAACTCTGCTTACCAAATTCCTGACCATCTTTCAAAGCCCAACCCTGACGTAGGCCCCCTCCTTTCACAACCTTTCCAAGCCCCTCCCTCCATGTTGCATGCTCATCTCTCTAAGCAGATTGGGCATTGGTAATAAAAGGTACTGTTTCTGTATTGGACATCTTTTTTTTTTCTTTAGTTTTTTGTATTGTGGTAAAATACATGTAACATAAAATGTAGCATCTTAGACATTCTTAGGTGTATAGTTCAGTGTATTAAATATATTCATAATTTTGTGCTGTCATCACCACGATTTATCTCCAGGACTCTTTTCATCTTGTAAAATTGAAAGTCTATACCCCTTAAACGACACCTCCCCATGGCAACCATCATTCTACTTTCTGTATCTATGATTTTGACTTCTAGCTACCTCATGTAAGTAGAGTCATACAGTATTTGTCTTTATGAGTTATTTCACTTAGCATAATGTGTTCAAGGTTCATCACGTTGTAGCATATTGCAGAATTTCCTCCTTTTTATTATTATATATTAAATAATATATAATAATATTTATATTATATATTTATATAATATTTATATTATATAAAAATATATATTTATATTATATAATAATAAATATATTATTATTATATTATATATTATAATAAATATATATTTATATTATATAATAAAAATAATATAATTTATATTATATAATAATATATAGTATATATTTATATAATATTTATATTATATAAAATATTATTCATATATTAAATAATAAATAATATATAATATATATTATATATATAAATATTATTCATCATATTTATATACAACATTTTGCTTACCTATGATCCATCGTTGGACACTTGAGTTGCTTCCACATTTTAGCTATTGTGAATAATAGCTTGTTATTTGTACATGGGTGTACAAATATGTCTTCAAGACCCAGAAGTTGGTTTGCTGGATCGTATGGTAATTCTATTTTTAATTATTTGAGGAACTGCCACACTGTTTTCCACAGCAGCTGTACCATTGAACATTCCCACCAATAGTGCATAAAGGTTTGAATTTTGGGCTTCCCTGGTGGCGCAGTGGTTAAGAATCCGCCTGCCAATGCAGGGGACACGGGTTCAAGCCCTGGTCTGGGAAGATCCCACGTGCCGCGGGACAACTAAGCCCATGCACCACAGCTCCTGAGCCTGTGCTCTAGAACCCACAAGCCACAACTACTGAAGGCTGCGTGCCTAGAGCCTGTGCTCTGCAACAAGAGAAGCCACCACAATGAGAAGCCCGTGCACCACAACGAAGAGTAGCCCCCACTCGCTGCAACTAGAGAAAGCCCGTGCGCAGCAATGAAGACCCAATGCAGCCAAAAATAATTAATTTTTTTAAAAAAAGGTTTGAATTTCTCCACATTGTCAACAACACTTGTTATTTTCTGTTTTTTTTTTAATAGTAGCTATCCTAATGGTTGTGAGGCTGTATCTAATTGGTAGCTGTGATCTGAATTTCCCTAAATATTAGTGATGGTGAGCATTTTTTCATGTAATTGTTGGCCATTCATATATCTTCTCTGGAGAAATGGCTATTCAAGTCCTTTGCCAAATTTTGAATTGGATTATTTTGTTGTTGTTGCGTTTCAGTTCTCTGTATATTCTGGGTATTAGTCCCTTATCATATATATGGTTTGCAAATATTTTCTCCTTCTGTGGGTTGCCTTTATAGTCTCGTGTCTATTAATGCACAAAATTTATATATTCTCATAAGTTCCAACTTGTCTATTTTTTCTTTTTTTGCCTCTGCCTTTGGTGGTGTATTCAAATCATTGCAAACCCATCAGGAAGCTTTTGCCTTATGTTTTCTTTTAAGAGTTAGAGCTTTAGGTCTTACATTTAGGTCTTTGATCCATCTTGCGTTAGTTTTTGTATATGGTATTAGGTAAGGGTCCAACTTCATTCTTCTGCGTGTGGATATCCAGTTTTCCCAGCACATTTTGTTGAAAAGGGGGCCCTTTCCCCCACTGAATGGTCTGAGCAGTCATAGGTCTATTCAGATTTTCGTTTCTTATTGACTTAGTCTTGGTAGGTTTTGCGTTTCTAGGAATTTGTCCATTCAGCTAGGATATCCAATTTGTTGGCATACAATTGTTCATAGCACTCTCTTATAATACTTTTTATTTCTGTAGAATCAGTAGTAATGTCCCCTTTCATTTCTGATTTAGTAATTTGAGTTTTCTCAGTCCATCGAGGTAGTTTGTCAATTTTGTTGCTCTTTTCAAAAACTACTTTTGGTTTAATTGATTATCCTCTATTGCTTTTCTGTTCTCTACTCCATTTATCTCTGCTCTAGTCTTTATTGTTTCCTTCCTTCTGCTAGTAATGGGTTTAGTTTCTTCTTCTTTTTCTAGTTCATTAAGCTGTAAAGTTTGCTGATTTGAGATCTTTCTTGTTTTTTTAATGCAAGCATTTATAACTATAAATTCCCCCCTTAGTACTGATTTTGCTTCATCCTGTAAGTTTGATATGTTGTGTTTTTGTTTATCTTCATCTCTAAGTATTTTTTAAAATTTCCCTTGTGATTTCTTTGATCCATTGGTTGTTTAAGAGTATACTGTTTAATTTCCACAAATATATGAATTTTCCTGTTTTACTTCTGTTGTTGATTTCTGACTTCATCCCATTGTGGTCAGAGAAGATACTTTGTATGATATCCATACTTTGTATGATATCCATCTTTTTAAATCTACTGAGACTTAATTTGTGGCCTAACATATGGTCTATCCTGGAAAATGTCCCCTTGAGAAGAATATGTATCCTGTTGTTGTTGGGTGGAGTGTTCTGCATGTGTTTGTTAGCTCTAGTCAGTTTATTGTGTTGTTTAAATCCTCTGTTTCCTTACTTGTGTCCTGTCTGGTTGTTCTCTCCATTATTGACAGTTCAGTTTTGAAATCTCCAACTATTATTGTAGAACTGTCTATTTCTCCCTTCATTTCTGTCAGTTTTTCCTTCATTATTTTGATAGTGTATTATTACGTGTGTAAACGGTTACAGTTGTTTGGGCAGCTTTTTTTTTTTTCCAGAACACCTAGCAGAGTGTTTGGCCTTCCGTAATTATTTCTTTAATCCATTAATAATAAATTAAAAGTTTTTGATAATAAGAATGATAGGCAGGACTAAGTAGAGAAGTTCTATTATTTTCTGCAAGGTGATGAAAGGTAACATCTAGTAAATTCCTTTTAATAAAAAGACTTTCGGAGAATCTGTAGAACCTGCAAACCCTTCCACAAAGAAAATGTAAACACTGAGAGGTGGAAGGCGATTTTACTTTATATTTTTGGCATCATCACCATGAAATTTCATTAAAACAAACAATGCCATGAAGTTAGTTGAAATTCCCGCTGTATTCACTTGTAACAATTTTTTCCCCAAGCAGTCAAGTTGAAGAAACGTCTCCACTACTTAAAGAGGGACCTGCAAACTATTTTTATTCAGCTGTTCCAATGGGATTTTCTCTTAGTAAATCTGCTACTCAGATATCTGCTATGCGTATGGATTCAAAAGTGGATGATCACTTAATGCAAGGGACTGAGAAAAGCAAATTGGAACCAGTGACTCAGTTATTTCAAAACACCAAGAAAATAAGATTAGAAGACACAAACCAAGAAAACTTTACAAGGAGCAAAGATACTGGCACAGGATCTCTTTCAGAGAAAGCCTTGGGTTCAGTGGTGTATGTTAAAGAAAGTGATGGAATAGAAATGATAGATGTGGAATGAAGTTATTTGTGTATGTTACCAAAGAAACCAAAAGTTGCTTTTGACTAAGAGGGCCTGTTGAATGAGAACTTAACCTTATTATGAAAACCTAACAAAATGAAGGAAGACGATTGCTTATTTTTCACTATTTATGAATCACTGTAGATTGCACTTTTTGATGATACATATTCAGAAAAGTTGCTTTAGAGAGAAGAAGCTTTCCAAAATTCAAAGAAGGTTTCTCTGGTATTATATTCTGTCCTTGTCAAAAAATCAGAGTTTTTGTGTAACAGTATTTAAATGGCACCAAAACATTTTAATTATAATGTATTTCTCTAACAAGTGATCAAAAACCCAAAAAACAGTGCCCAAACAATTTGACATCAGTATTTCACATGATTTCTGGTGTACTGATTTTGTATGTTGAAATTCCAGTTAGGGATTTTGCTTTAGAATACTTTATCTTCTTGCATTTTTTCATGTCTGTTCTGTTAAAGATCACTGGCAGCTAAACTCAAAGACCAGTAAATTACATACCTTGAGAAGCATTTCACATTTCAAATCATCCTTTTAAAACTTTTTTTTCACCCACGTGGAATTCATTTCAGAGTTCACAAAATAGTTTTTTCTAAGTGTAATAATTTATCTTGCAGATGTTACCATTTTATACCACCAATATTTAATATAATAAAACAGCCTAGTTGTTAAAAAAAATTCTTGTTTTGTATGTATCAGTTTACCATTCTTATTAAAACATCTAGTAGTTTGAAACAGCAGTATTGTCCCAAGTAATGTAAGCTGAAGTTAAAAACCATTTGTGTCTGGACAAACAGTGACCTATAAATATTTCTATTATGTATGGTTTGAACATTTTCCTGTACTTTAATATTTACTGGTGATCTCTAATGCTCAATTGAGTAATCTCCTTAATATTCATAAAGGAAAAAGGCATATTCAAAGAGGAAAAGGCATCTTCTTTTAGAAGAAATATTTTGTAAATCAGAAAAAAACCAAACAGATGTCACATATTTGTAGAGTTAAAAAAAAAATAACATTGAATGGGATGTAAGCCACTAAGATAATGCTCTTTATCATTTATAGAATATAATTCTTTGGGAGAGAAAAAATACACAAATCATTCATTTGTTCACCTAGCCTGGCACTGTGCTTGGTGCTCAGGATACAGTGGTGAATAAATTACCACTACCTTCATAGTGCTTACTGTCTGTCTACCAGGGAAGGTAGAACATCAGACAGTAATTATATGATACAAATTGTGATGTGCCATGAAGAAAAAGTTAAATTTCAGAGAGACAGAAGAGGAGACATAACACATACACTTAATTTTTTTTTTTTTTTTTTTATGGTACGCGGGCCTCTCACTGTTGTGGCCTCTCCCGTTGCGGAGCACAGGCTCCGGACGCGCAGGCTCAGCGGCCATGGCTCACGGGCCCAGCCGCTCCGCGGCATGTGGGATCTTCCCGGACCGGGGCACGAACCCGTGTCCCCTGCATCGGCAGGCGGACTCTCAACCACTGCACCACCAGGGAAGCCCTACACTTGATTTTTAATTGTGGGAACTAGGAAGGCTTCTCTGAGGACGTGACATGTATAGCTTTTGCAGGGACATGGTTGTCCAAGTGAGGTGATGGTGATGGTCGAGGTATATCGAGAAGGGGACAGAGTCCAGGTGAAGTTTGGCAGGGCAGACTGATGGTCTTAAAGTGGGAAATGAGGAAAATGAAAGGATTTCTAGTAAAAACAAACAAACAAACAAAAAAGCTAGATGCATGGAGGTTCCCTGGGGGAAAGAGCTTGGGAGCATGGGTTTTGGGCATACCTTTTTCTAAGGCAGACAGTCCTATGTATGGAATGAAAAAATACAAATTGTGAAGTTGTATACAGAATGGTATCTAAAGCTATGGGAACGAAAGAGGTTGCTTATGGTGGATGTATAGTGTGAGATAAAGCAACTACAACACTTAGGAGCTGGGCAGCGCAGGGGGAGCTGGCTAAGGGGACTGAAGAGTTGGCAGGGTTGGTGGAAAACCAAGACAGGATAATGTCAAGATTGCCCACAAAAGTCTTTAAGGTGGAGGCAGTCAACTGAAATGGTAGATGAGGACTTGAAAGGTCCACTGGATCTAGCAACATGAATGGCACTAGTGACCTTAGCAAAACCACTTTTTTCTTTAATAGGGACTTGGCTCAAATATTTACAGACCGGTTTTTCACCTCCATGAATGTCCAACAGGACATTTGATAGTGTGTTGGACACTGAATTTGGGATGTCCTTCATTGTATGTGATGCCCCAGGCATTGCAGGATGTCAAATGTTGTAGCACAATCCAGTCATTGAGATGATAACAAATGCAAGCATTAATTACTCTGATTGAGAACTATTGCTGCTAAGACATCAGAGAATTGGAATCCCAAAATCCAAGCGAAGCCATAGTTTTAGCAGCACACCTGGGAATGGAAATCCACAAATACTTCCTGGAAGGGGTAGAATGGAATAAGTTTAATCAGAACAACAGCCTCACTTAGGTGTTTATTTGTTTTATGGAAGAATTCTACAAGCAGAATCCTAAAGTGAACATTTTTCAGAGTTCTGCCGTTGTTTCTGATGAGAAACTTTCCATATAAAAATAATATAGTTCAGGAGAAATAAGGATGTTAGGAGACCTTAGATTCAACATACCTATAAGACCTATAATACATGCATTGGTATTGCATCTAATGGTGTTGTCATTGATGCCAGTAATAATAGTTATCATTTACTGAGCTGTTGTGTAACTGGCTTAGTTGAGATTCCCTAGAAGCTGCTTGAGACAAGGACCCAGATGCACATGATTTTTGAGAGTGTGCTCTTTAAGGTAAGCCTGTAAGGGAGTCAGGGAAGCAGGAGGAATCAATGAAGAATGAGCACTCAGATAAATTCATGGCCTGACTCACAGGGTGCTCTGGAGGGATCATACTGCAGAGTTGTACCACTGTCCCACTTTGAGGCAAGGGGTGGGACTATTGCAGCGCTAGGCCAGTCAGGCATCGGTTGCCACCTCCAAGCCAAAGTGGGGAGGCTGGTGGGCAGGGATGCAGGGTGAATCACTCTGGTGTGCCTGTGCCTGCTAGCTCCTTCATTCACACCAGCTGGAGAATGGATGATGAATTAAGGGTAAAGGGGACCTGGGTGGGGTGCTCACAGTCTTTATTACAATGCCAGACACCTAACATATATTATTTTCCTTTTATTTTGAAACAATCTCAAATTTACAGCAAAGTCGCAAGCATGGTACAAAGGCCTTTCCCTCTCCTCCCAACCATTTGAGAGTAAGTAGCTGACCTAATTCTCCATCATCCCTGAATAGTTTTTTAATGATTTAAAGAATTTTATTATTTTTAAAATAAATTTTAAAAATTGATATATAATTGACATATGCCATTATATTAGTTCCAGGTGTGCAACATAATGATTTCGTATATATTGCAAAGTGATCACTGTAAGAAGTTAACATCTATCAACACATAGTTATTTTTTTTTCCTTGTGATGAGAACTTTTAAGATATATTCACTTAGCAACTTTCGAGTATACAGTACGGTATTTTTATAGTCACCATGCTGTACATTTACATCTCCAGGACTTACTTATCTTATAACTGGAAGTTTGTACATTTTGGTCATCTTCACCCATTTTGCTCACCCTGCAAAAAGCACTTTTGATGGAACAACAGAACAGAATCCATGTTGGAGTAGGTTAAAAAACAAATGGGAAGTGAGGAAGTGGATACTGGATGTGTAGCAACTCCACAAAGAAGCTCAACTCTGAAGGGGAGTAGACAGCATGAGAGATGGAAGATGAGATGGAGGTCGTGTTTGAGTGTCAGCAGAAGAAGGATCCAGTGGAGAAGCCGAAGAAGTAGGAGAGGGGTTAAGATAACAACAGGGTGGAAGTCTAGGAGCAGGGAGGATGGATCCATTCTTGAAAAAACACTTCGGTCGGAAATTAGGGGGGGAAAAATTGTACCACCTCAGATTCCAGAGAAATGGAATTTAGAAAGATGTACTATAAGCAAAGGGCAAGAGAATTGCGTGGCTCTTTTTAATGATAACTTGGAAAACTACTGGGACTAACTGCACAGAATCCATTCCCACCTGCATAATCCAAGAAAGACTAATTAGAGCAACTTCAAGAGGGTAATAGTAAATAAATAAGGAGCCACTGTGTCTTTATTGTAGCTTTATATGGAGCCCTGGTCATTGTATCGGCATCACCAAATTGTGAACACTGGATGCTTCTTACTCCAAGATGCAAGTCTTGATGGTTTCTATTCTAAGCCAAAAGAGAGCTTGATTTCTGTGGAAGCCTGAAACAGATGACCACAAATTATTTGGGCTCCTCTCATCAAGAGGTGGGGTCCATTTCTCCACCCCCTGACTCTGGGCTGCCTTTGCTGGTGCTTTGGTCAACAGAATGTGGCCAAAGTGCTCCTTCCAAGGCTAGCCCTGAACGGAGGTGCCCCATCAGCCAGCCAGCACCAGCCGCCAAAGGCGTGAATAAGGCCGTCCTGGACCTCCCCGCTCAGCCAACCTGTGCTGAATGAAGAAAGCCACGTGAGCAAGCCTTGACCCTATAAATGTTAGAATAAATCGTTGTGTTAAGCCACTGGCGTTTGAGGCAGTTTGTTACGCAGTTATAGTTACCTGGAACTTTGCCTGACGGGGGAATTTCCCATCTGGCTAAGCCACAAGGATTTTCTTGCCAGCTGCACCGAGGGACACCCCAAGTGGTAACGTTCATTGCCCTCAGTGTGTTTGTTCTCTGACCCACTCCTTCCTACCTGTTACCGTCTCTGTATTGGGAATACCAGCGTTTATTCCTTTAAATGCCATTTATCTTTTAAAACCGATTTTAGTTTCGTCCCCTTCCAAGTGGAGTTGCCTGCCCTTTAGACTATGAGACGTGCAAAGCCCCGCGCAATGCCTGGATGTTCAGTAAAGAACATCCGACCCGACTGCTCTGGGTACGAGGCGGGCTCCCCTCCAGGCTGACTCAACCCCGCTCCTACCTGTTCCCCGCTAACGCTCTGGGCTGTCACGCGGGGAACCTCCATCTGCCCTGGGGCTCTAGGACTTTCGATATTATTGATACTATTATTCGAACGTGGGCGGCGTCCCTGCCTCTCCTCTGATTTGGCGCCAGCTCGGCGGGTCGTAAAGACCTTCCGGAACCCCCCCCGGCCCCGCCCCCACGCAGCGCTTCCGGTGCCCCGCCCCCCGCGGGCCGGGGCGACGGGCGGGGCGGCTGCGTGCGCAGCAGGACGGGACTCCGGGTCGCACGCGTCCTTCCCCCACGGGCCCGCGCGCTGCTTGGCCGCGACCGGAAGCCTCAGGTGCGTGAAACCGGAGGCGTGGCAAGGCGGGGCGGGGCAGGGCAGGCAGCGTGGGCCCCCGAGGACAGACAGCTGGCGGGGACCTGAGACCCTGGGGCGGTGCACACGGCTGGCGCTGCAGGCCCTGAAGTGTCCGGTCAGAGCTTGGGAAGACGTAACTCCACGGTTAGGAACGGATTATCCGCAACACGGGAGGGTCAAAAAATTAGACATGTTGGGTGCCAGCCCCGTGCGCGCCCACCGAGAACCAAAAAGGCGAAATCAAACAGGCACACGGCTGTCCTGAGACTGGATAAGTTATGTATTAAGACAGGTGGCAAGATGGCAAGATAAAACTTGGGGAGGATTTTTTGAAGGAGCCTCCTGCCTAGGAGGGTAGGTGGGATCCTGTTATTTTTTGCTTTCTGTTCGATGATGGAGAAGCAGGTTTGGTAAATTCAAAGTGGTGGTAGCAAAGTGTCCCTCCCAGAACATGGAAATATGATTGTCCTCTGATTAAAAAACGATAAAAAATTAATAATTAAAAGGTAAGAGTAGAGATATGC